GTGGAGGAACGCAGAGCTAGTTTTTTTCATACCGGAATCAGTGGAATAAGGTCACTGTTCTGTTTCTGAATCACAAGATACAAATTTGCAATATGAATACTTTATGATTTGTATCTCAGAAACAGTTTTTTAATTATAAGTTATAGTGTATTAGGATAGAAAGAGTATTTGAGTTTTAGAAATTAATATAAAACGTTCAATACTAGCATTGAGCTAAATGATATGTTAAAGATAAACTTATCTAGTTAGCCGTTTGAGGGCTCTGAGTTTGCGTGAAGTGAGTTAAATCAGAGAAGGATATCTGTGAAATTATGTTGCGAGATTTATAGATGTTGGTCACCTTTGACTGTCGTACTAACTGGTTTTGAATAAAAAATGTTCACTTTGCTTTATATTAATGCATGATAAGACCCAAAGGCCACAACTTGATCCACCGGATTGTCAAGACAGTCCACCTTTAAGGCAGCAGCCCAATAACAACAATGAGCTATGATTTGTCCTTCTAAACAACTGAAGAATTCAGTTCTGTGCAATTTATTTCCCATCAGAGGAATCAGACAACGCTGTTGTGATTCTGAGTCAGATAATACGATTTTGAGATATGACAGCTTTAAGAGTTATAACTCAGCAAAAGCGTTTTTTCTTGCGAACCTTAATGATTTAGTATAGGAAAGTATGGTAAGATTTTAAAATCTAGTGTAAAATACACAAATAATGTTCAGTGATAGCATTGAGTTAAATGATATGCTTATGATTTGCGTAAATTTTTTCCCATTTGACGTCTGGGAAGTTGGTTTACTTAGCTGAGGCCGGACAAGTCATTTGTCAGAGTTATCGCATCAGTCTGCGAGAATGAATTAAAAGCACAGACTTCAGATTGCTGATGGATCTATAAAAAACCACTGGCATATTCGAGTTATTTGTTATACAGCACAGAGATTACGTTTATAAGTTTCCCCATATTTTCAAAAATGCGGCGTAGCGAAATTCAAAATTTCACTTGCGACAACTATTGCATATTAAGAAGACCCACCTAAATCATTCGAAGCTATTTATAATTATATTAATATTCGCTTAATAATTATGATGATGACCTTCGCTCCTAAGTTAAACTTAATCCTATGAATGTGTGTGAGAAAATATAAGTAGCCGATAGAGGCTTCTAGTAAAGGGTACAGGAAAATGACTGATTATAATTAGAAAGACTTCAAATTTTAGTCTTTGGCCAGGCGTCTTGGTAGTAAGCTAATCGCACTGTGCTTGTGATGTCAAAAATTGATCAGATACCTCCCTTTAACTAGCATGATAAATGCAAAATATACCTCGGTTTTTATCAGGAAAAAAAAACAGGAAACGTATATGTTTTAGTCAAGATGGTCAGAATGGAAACTTGAGTCACTTTTAAGTTGGAGAGTTATCAGTTGAAATATAAATGCACACTGTGCATACAGTCTCCTATAAATGAAAAGTTATATTTGTGTTAAGCAACCTGCAGAATCGTAGCATTCTGGTTTATTACAGTGCTATAGTTACTGAGACTAGGCAACCTTAGAAAGTAATATAGATAGCATATTCTTTAAACAAACTAAGAAGACTATAGTTTATTTCTCTGGCAAATTCTTACCTCAGTATGAGTTAGCAGAAACGAGCAGATAAGACAACCTGAAACAAACGAAATCATAGTTTCAGTATCTGTGAAAAAGCTGACGTTTATATTTTAGATTAAATTTTAATGAAAACATATCCGATTGCTGCATAGTTGTTACAAGTACTTTCGTGCATTTAACCTTCAAAAGACAAGAGTATAAGGTAAAATACGACACAAGACACTAGTGTTTTCGGTTACTTATTTTATTTAAATTACAACTGATTTGAAGCGTTGATTGTATTCAGTAGAATTAATCAAAATCAACATTGCTGCTTGCACATGTGTTATGCATCGGGTCCTGAAATAACTTACCAAAACACAAAAGGAGTATATATCTGGTGAAGGAAACCGCGTCCATTTTGCTACGGTCTTTTTAGTTTCCCACGATAAGGTCATTTAAATGCAATTTTTTTCTATTTATACAAGGGGAACATCCCATCCGCCATTGGCTGATTTAAGACTACCTAGAGTTCATTGGTTGATAGATGTCGATGGACTCGTGCTCTTGTGTTCCTTCTACAGTTTCAAGCAAAGTGAACCTTCCGGCATTTTATCGATGAAAAAGTCTCCTGGAATCGTAAAACAACTCCAAATATTTGTCTTTGAAGCCAGTGTTCCTACTGTTTTTGGTCAGATCTACGGTAAATTTTGCTGCCATGGGAAAAACACAAATATTGCGGCCCATTTTGTACTTATCTGTCAGAAGCAATTAAATGATCATAAAATTGCGCACACTACAATGAGTATTCAAAGTCCGTTTGAAGTCAGTTTATGGTCTAGAGAAAGTACCTTCTGATTGAACCTATCTTGATCCTCTTGAAAGAGATAAGCTTTACTTACTTTTTATGCTCGCAAGACGTCATATGTACAGTAGCTGCCGAAGACCATGCAACGCTAATTATGAAATTTACCTGGACAATTTGGCATA